AAAACGATTCTGAACGGAGATGATTTGTCAGTCTAGGATATATTATATTTAAATATTGTCATATATTCTATTTTGAAACAAATATTTTATTTTTCAATAAAGACGCATYTTGCATAAGGCATGGTTAATCAATTAGTGTAGTTATCATGTAGTTATCATACCTTATATTATCATAGATATTATACATATACCTGGTTTAAGGATAAATCGTTATCATTACGCGATTTCATAAAAATTTAAAACTCAAACCTAACCCCCTTTACATGAACTCCGTCCAATTTATTAAAGTGATTAAAAAAAAATTTAATTTTTTATTTATTATTGATCATTGATTATTTATTAGTGTAATAGCAGGGTAATTAATAATTGTGACAGATTAAATTAAAATATCTAAGAAAAATATTATGGCATCTTTGCCTGATATCGTTAGGAAATGATAACATCAATGATATCAAATTCCGCTATTAGTAATTGTCATCATTTCCTAAATGTCAACATTTTCGATAACATATGCCTAACCTAACCTGGATGGCAAATTTTTCTAACGGTGTATGCCAAAAATTACGATTGCAATATATAAAACACAAACCAGACGACATAAAATACCGACAATATTAGCGATTAAACTATTATAGCCTCAACATACCGGCCGCCTTGGAACGCTAAATTTCAAATAAATAATACAGTAAATGCCAATGATATTATACAATAAATAAATAATGTAATAGATTCTAAACATCTAAAAATACAATAATAATACAATTTAATTAATTTAGTAATTAAATACATAGATATATATATATATATGCTTTTTAATTATCGTCAAAGGTAATGGCCATAATTTGCGGATGCTTCTTTTACATTCCCAATCTTCAATCTAACTCTAGCCATACGCCATTGAAGTGGATGTAAATTATCTTCACGTATGATAACTACTATGMCAACTTTGATTGACCTGCTTTTGTTGTGCTTCCATTTCTTAGTTTCCTGAAGTTGATTCAAATATTTTTTTGACCAGTGTGACCATATTTGTTGCGTCAAGCGTGACATTTGTTGCCATCTATTTAAGCGATTCATAGGTGTATTATTTAAATCTGGTTCAGGAATAGCGATAAAAGAATCTCTAATTAAGAAATGTCCCGGAGTAAGATATGATAAATCTGAGGGATCTGTTGAGAGGGGTGTTATTGGTCTTGAATTTAAACACGCGTTGTCGGAATAAATATCGGAGACAATTCCTCGGAGACTTACAAATCTACACAATGAGTTTAAGAATGACTCTGTTGTAAGATCGCCGACTAATTAAATGTGAACAGCCTTTGTTGCAAAACAAACAAAAACACATATKTAGCCTTTAACAAGCGGAGAATTACGTCGTAGACTACTTTTAATCATTATAGGACCTGCATAATCTATACCACATTTTGAGAAAAGGTGACTCGGAGTTATGCTATCTTTAGGTAAATCACCCATAAAAGGCTGAGATACGACGGGTTTTAATTTAAAACATGTTATGTATTTAATGCTCTTTTAAGGTCCGCCATGCATAATCTTACGATGTTCGTTTTCAAATATTAATTTGCTAAATACGCTACGATGTGGTAATAATATAGGATTACGTTGAAATATATTTAATGCGATAGCATTTCTTAATCAACCGCCTAACCGTAGAATACCGGTTTCATATATATATATGGCCGTAATTGACAAAGATTACTTTTACACGGTATCGGTGTTTTATCTCGTATACATTGTATTTCGTGTGACCAGCATTATAATTGCACTATTTTAATTAAGACAATGCGAGCCTTTGCATATTCTTCTTCTGATATTACGCCAGTTATAGTTTTCTTTTAATAGACGTGTTTTTATCATATATATGTACTTTTACGTTATGGATAAATCGATAAATGAGTGCAACGACTATGATTAATTTGGATAGCGACGAAAATTTATTAATTATAAAATGTTCGTAATATGTTACGAATGGCAATGCCGTAATCATTCTCCTTTACTCAGGTTAGTTTAGGTTAGGTTATGCAAAAATCTGTTTTGATAGCATTGCATTCTACTGAATACATGTGTATTTCTTGGTCTGCTAATTTTGTTAAGCATGCAGTTAACCTCAAAGTGACAATAGGAACTTGAGATTTCAAATAAATTGGACGTATGAGTTCTGTTGGCTTCGTTACTCAAAAATACAAGATGGGGCTTTTTGTTTGACCTGTATTTTGTTCCCACCATCAGATGGATTAGGAAAGGGTGGTCATCAAAATCCTGGGAAATTAGTTCTTGAAAAATATAATAATTGGAAAAAAGCCAAAGATTTGTTTAAGGACCACCAAAATAATCATTACCACAAACTTAGTCAAATTAAATTTGATAGTTTTTCGGTAATTAGATTTAAAAAAGTTGAACCAATTGACAGACAGATAAATGAAGCATTAAAAAAAGAAATTAATGATAACAGAGATCGTCTTCGTCCAATTATTAAAACCATTTTATTTTGCGGAAATCAAGGAATTTCGTTAAGAGGGCATAGAGATTCGGGAGTTATTGATCTAAATGAACATGCTAGTACAGAAAATCAGGGAAATTTCAGAGAGCTAATTAAATTTCGAATCGATTCTGGTGACAATGTGCTTAAAAATCATTTAGAAACTACCAATAAAAATGCCACCTATCTAAGTCCATTGATCCAAAACGAAATAATATCAGTCTGCAATAAATTAATTCTAGGACATTTGGTTGCTAATGTTAATAAATCTAAATCGTTTACCATTTTGGCTGATGAAACGACAGATGTTTCTAACAAAGAACAAATGACGTTATGTGTTTGTTATGTTGACTTAAACGCAAATAAAATTAGAGAAGACTTCTTACAAATTATCGAAATTCAAAATATGTCAGGAAAAGGATTATCTGATGTTATATTGAAAAGTATGACTGACTTCGGACTAAATACTAAATATTTAACTGGGCAAGGGTACGACGGAGCTGCAGCAATGAGTCAATGAGTGGCAGATATAATGGCGTACAAAAATTTATTCGCGATGAACATCCTAGTGCTTTTTATTTACATTGCAGTGCGCATTGTTTAAATTTAGCTATAACTTTTAGCTGTAAAGTCCCAGAGATAAGAAATTGTATGGGTACTATACAAAGTGTAAGTACTTTTTTCGGTTATCCAAAAAGACAAAGTATTTTGCAATTATCAATAGTAGAGTTATTTCCACAGATTAATCGTTTTAAACTAAAAAATCTATGTGCAACTCGATGGGTCGATCGCCATGATGCAGTTATATTATTTGAAGAACTTCAACCACCCATTTTACATGCACTAGATAGAATTACACTTTGGCCAGATTCTGACACTTGACGCGGGCCCGCGTAATAGCCGTTTGAATTCAAACGGCCTTTGCCCGGTAAACCGCGCAATTACTTCTCTTTTCAACCGCCAATCGACGACAGACGACACCGACACGCGATAAGCGCGCCTGGAACGGTCGATCCGCCGAG